ACCCGCCCATCTCACCACGGTCTCGGCGCTCGCACCACTGCTTCTCGCAGCCCCGCCCCGCCTTGTTCACACCTCTTCTGCTCTCAGTGCCACCCGCCGCGCCCCTCCCCGCCCCTCCCTTTACTCGTCTCCCTTGCCTCGCCCGTCCGCCCGCATCTCACCTTGGCTGGATCTCGCACCACTGCTTTCTTGCCGACCCCGCCCCAGCTTTGTTCTCGTCCTCTTCCTGCAGCGCACCCGCCCGCCCCGCCCTCCCCGCCCTCCCCACCCCTCCCTGCCCCCCAAAGCCCCTCAAGCCGCCCTCTTTCCTTCGGCCGCGCGCTCACTTTGGAAAGTAATTTTAAGTCTCTCCAACTTAGGCAGCAAACATGCCATCGCGTTTAGCATAATGTTCTGACCGGGGCCCGTCTGCAGCGGGGCCCGCGCGCCGCGCCGGGCGCCGAGCCGCCAAGTTGTTACAATGGAACTTTTATCAAGATCTCTTGCTCTTCAGCTGGAAAAGCGGAATCAGTGCTTATCTACTATAATTGAGCAGCGACGCCTATATTCGCGCTAATTAATATCAATAGTGCATTTACACTCGGAGGCGACGGCGCGGGAGATAAAAACAAGCGGGAAAATAATTGATGGCAGCGCAGCTCAAAGCGTTTTTTTCCTGGAAATAACAATTTTAATCCGACTAGATCTATCGCAGCATCAGCGCAAATCGAGTATTTGGCCGAGCCTTGTTCGCTCGTCGCGCTAATTACTGCCAGGAGCGGCACGCGGACTGCAGGTTCTGATTGGCCTCAGATCGTTGGCGTGGCGATTGCAGCCCAGTCGCGGGCATTCGTATAACGCCGCCACTTCCCAGCCTAGCACTTGGGCACCTCTTTATTGTTGACTGCAGAGTCGAGACACAACGATTTTCCGGAGACCAGTGGAACAATTAATTTTGGATTCCCCGCTCTTTTTTCGGTAATGAATATTTACGTTAGGAAAGGTGCATTTCAGAATAATATCAAGATCTTAATATATTTCAACTCTGATGCGAATACTGGCCTGCGGAACATAAACTTGGGTGGACGGACAATCGTGCCTACCTGTCTCTTTCTCTCAGGTTAGGTGATGCACGGAGAATCCCCCATACGTTGTACAAGAACTACATTACCTGTTAGCTGGCACACATCGAAATATGTGCCTGCTATGTAGTTCTAATAATTGTGGACATCCGACCACAAGCGCAATGCTTTTTTACTTTCTCGCAACATGAGAACATCGATAAGAAGAGAAGGTTTCGTGCAGTCGTACGCCGGAAAACGAATTATTGACAGAAAAACTTCTTTATTGCCGAGCGACCCTGGTAAGGGAACTGTGGATGAATCTTGTACCAACTTCTAACCACGTTCTGTATTGAGAATCCGTTTTGAGAGTTCACTGCTTTTTAAACAATAAAACAAAAACGCAGTTTCAAATGTTTTACATTTTTTAACAGCACCGAATTTTTCGTATATAACTTTGTCTTCGAACGTCGTAGAACAACCGCGCATTTCATTTTCGTAAACTCCCTGATTTTGAAAAAATTGCAAACAATTCTCAGGTTCTTTCCTACCATCCCACAATATTGAAAATTTTTTTTCACTTCTCCGTCTGCAGCGTTACAAAACTTTGTCTCTTGCTACTTTTAGTAAACGAAACGTAAAAGCGGAGATGAAAACGTTCGGGGAGGCGTGCGGAACGTAATTCTCTTTTTCTGCTCTGCGCGGCCAGAGCAGTTGCTTGCCAGTTGGCGTGAGGAGTCCGATGCCATCCTGGCTTCCGCTAGAGGGGATGCGATGGGAGTGTGTAGGGTTGGGGGGCGTGGGAAGGGGAGGGCGGGGGCGGGTGCAGGCTGGCAGTGGACTCCGTTTTATCAGCCGCACGCATCAAAATAAAAAAGGGCGGACGCCGGGTCTTCGCAATCAAGCCGGCGGTCGGCCGCCGCGGATTACGAATACTGCTCGCCCCATCCCTCTACCCCCCTCCTCCACCGCCTCCCGCCTCCCCGCCTCCCCGCCTCCCGCGCCTCCCCGCCTCCCCGCCTCCCGCCTCCCGCCCCCGCCGGTGTGGTAATAGACAGAGGCCGCCGGGGAATTACAGAGAAAGTGGAAAAAGCTTCTCAGAGTTAAAAAGGTCGCGCGGCGGTCCTCCAGCAGTTAAGGCGCGCTCGCGGCCGGCGTCGCGTCCGCCGCATCGGCAATCGGGTGCCGAATAGTGTGCAAATGAAGTTGGAGAGTTAATTCTGGGCCGGCGCGGGCGCATGGCTCACCGGAGCGGCGTTGGGTGGCGCGGGAAAGTCGCGAGTTCATCTGCAATGTTAAATGGCCTAGTTTGCTGGCACCTGGCGGTCGCCCCCCCCCCCCCGCCCAGCACGCGCCCCCTGCGAGGGGAGCTAATCCCCCCACGAGCGGGCGCAGGGGGCGCAGCGGGGAGCGCTGGCGGCGGAGGACAAGGCTTTGTCGGCTGGCGAAGTGGCTGCGCGCTATTGAACAAATTGTAATACGATGCGGTGGAGAGCGCCGCCTAGGCTGCAGGAGGCCGGCACGGGCCGCGGAGGAATTACGCGCTGATCGCTGGAGGACGCGATGTCCGCGCGCATTCTGTCTTCGGCTTCACGGGTTTTGGTCGGGTGCCACCGGGCTGAAACAACGCGCGTGTGAGCTACTAATAACCTTCTTTCGAAGCCTGGCAGAGAACTAGATTTTGATATAAAAATTAACCAAATTACACGTTTTCTTGATTAGTTTACAAAGTGAAAAATATATTATCTTCGTAAACATTATTGTTCCGTTAATTTGGTAATGCATAATTTTCAGCCGTGTACACATACCGTGTACCACAAGAATAGAACTTCATTATCTTTAAAAATATTATATTGGTAATGCTATCATCTAGGCATCATGGGATCCTAGGAATGAAATTACATGAAAAAATCTCATTATATAAATCATATCCGTCAGGACAAGTTTTAGAGATAGATTCTTGTAATTATACCGGGAAAGGAGTTTGAAAAAGTAGGCTATTATTTTCCTTCCTCCACAACTTTGCATTTCCTGAATATAGTCTTCTTTTCTTAAACTTACGTATAAGGAATTTTCCCCATTTTTGGCAATATTTTCATTCTGAGATTCACGTAGGTATTTCTCAGAAAATGGGACTATACTCTTTCAGAATATGAGTCTTCGCGATTCACTCATATTAAAAATATTTAAATTATTAGTAAATCTCAAACTATTTTCTAAAACTATCACTTCTGTATGTGAAGATACAAGTAATAGTATGAAAGACATTGAAACGCAGTGACATGCATACCACTGGTAAAAGAAAGTCTAAAATAGCAAAAAACTATTAATGCATTGTTAGGAAGTAATGATCTTGCGGCAATAGGTCGGGCAGACCAAATCATCGCAATCCGGCATTTCTAATTCGACATCAACGATCGTGAATTTTCACAACGGTTATTATATTACTTCAGCATTGAAGAATACACCCAAAGATTTGACCATTAAACCCCCTCTCTTTCTCTCTATTACGTTTGCTGTTCCCGGAGAATACAGATATAGTCAGCATTTAGGATCGGTGTAATATTCACTGCACATGAAGATTCGAAAGTGTTCTCTTCTATTAAGGAGAGTTGGAGATGCAATGAAACTGAAAACCATCATGTCACGATACACATATGTGCCTGCCAATAAAATATTAGGTTGTCTGCCTGCTCACCTGCGTCCTTTGTAGCGGGGGCTCCAGTGCCGGGGGCGTGGGCGGGGCGGGCGGCGCGTCTCCTCGCTGGTCTCGATGCTCACGGGCCCGTCCTCGTCGTCGCGGCGGCCGCGGCGCCGGGGGCTGGCGGGCGCGCCGGGGGCGGGCGCGTGCGCGGGGCCGGGACCCGGGCCGGGGGCCGGGGCCGGGGGCGAGGGCGGACGCTGCCTCCGGGGAAACACGGGCGGAAGCGACGGGTGGCGGCGGGTGGTGCAGCGAGCCCGGGTGCAGGGGAGGGGCGGCCGGCGGCTGGCGGCCGCGGCGGCCGCCGCCTCGTGGGGGCCGAATGGCGAGGGGGCGCCGGCACCCGCCCGGCCCCCGCCGGCGCGTGGCCGCCGCCGCCGCCGCAGCCGCCGCCGCCGCGGCCGCCGACGCCCAGCACCGACGGGTGCGGGGCGGCGGCGGGCCGCGCTATGGCGCCGGCCACACCCGTGCCACGCTCTTCTACTACATTTTGTTCAAAGTACTGATTGGACCTGAGACGGTCAAGCTTTAAAATGAAAGTTAGGCTGACCATCTTACTGATTCTTATTTTAAGGAACTGCATGAAAACAAGACATTACTTGCTCCCCATTCCGATCTTCTCTTTACAAGACCTCTCTTTTAATAATACGTTTTTGTTTAGAACGTTAATCCTAATGGATGGACAAGCGTGTACATTGCTACTTCACACTATTATGTGCCATTCATTTCCAAATTCGAGTATTACTGTGTAGCAATATTTTCCTTAATTAATTTTAATACTTAATTTAGAAGAAATACGTGTGCCATCTGTAATGATGCGGCGTTTCCATTACTACGTACGCATATACATATAGTAACAAGAAAGCAGTAACTATGACAGTGTCGCTATTGTGCGCACTGCAATCTTCTATTATTGGGAGCGCTTCCCCCTCACCAACTTCCATTCATGTGTTGAATAATTTATTATATTTACTTAAGCGGTACTACGTACTAGTGATAGTACTGTTCACCGTGTACAATTATTGACTTCAACGTTTTTGGTTTAAATACAGGCATCAACTAATGTGTAAAGTCATGCATCAGCTAATGAGAGAATATTAATTCTTAAAATCATAAAGTTTGTTTTATTAAATGAAGACGTTTCAATTTAATGTATCTATTACCTGATAAAGAATGAATATGACTAATCTTCGAAATGTCCGATTATATCTCACTTTAATAAGATACAGATAATGTTGAACGAGTGACGATGAATGAATCATTTCGGACTTCTCCCCGCTTTATTTGGTATCTACCATAAAGCACCAGAGATTGAAAGAAAGCAGCCTTCGTTTAAGGTCGCAGAGCGATTTTTATAAGAAAGTTTGACAGCTAGTACTGGCACCGTAACTGAAGGTTCTGTGGTCGTTGTGTTCTTGTGTCCATTTAACTCTCCTTACTTCATTCGATAGCAGTTGCTAATTTGTAAATGGCTTCAACGATTCCTTTTGTGATGTCCTCGTCCAACGGAAATATAGTGCGCCAGAATAAATAATTGAAATTAGAAAGTGCAGTGCATGTGCTCTTCTATAACTTTGTTATAAACATTTAGTGATTTTACGTTTTGTGTGATAAGTATTATGTTTATTTAAAAACAAAGTTTTGTGTGTTAGATGCGTACTGGTACACGTGTTTCCTACTCCTCTGCGATAAGGTGGTGAGCTGTGATCGAAAACGTTCCGTGGTTCCGTTCTTTACGTTTTATCAATTTATTTTGTATTTAATTACACGGTTGTGAACCATGAGAAGCTATGATTTCTTCACGACAGTCATAAGCACTTTACGAAGAGGACTAGCTGACCAGTTGTCGCGGCGCGGGGATTCTGCTCTGAAGGACATATGATGTTCATTTGTTTGGTGAACTGTCATTTCGGTTCATTCATAGGCTGATTCTTGTATACTTGGGAGATAAAAGGCAGTTTCAGCTCCAGGTGCAAGATGACATCCTTGAACTCTATATATCACATGACTAAAGACGTTATCTGACCGTAAGGAATAATCTTCAGATGTACATTGGCAAATGAATCTTTGCGTTACGCATTAAAACAAAGAAACATTTCGAACATTGAACAACTGAGTTGCATAATATACCAGAGTACATAATTGGTGAGGCAATTAAATAATGGTACGACTCAAGGGTAAACAATTGTTTATCATGCAAGGTGTTTGAGATTTTCTGGCCTGTCGTGGTGATTATGCAAAATAATTTTGTTTTCATCTGGTGATATGATTTAAACGTTCTTTTCGCGAAATTTTTATGTCACCGTTCCAATACTTTTCGTTAATTTTTACCACATTTATGAAGTTGGTTAGGATTAAAAACAACTACCTCATCTACGAGATTATTTATTATGAGAGATAGAAATATGAGATCTTTGCTTTTTATCGACGGACATTTTGTCGTTCGAAAGACGACATTAGTACTTCGTAGCAGAGGCGAATCCAGCCGATCATTTGAGGGAGAGATTGTATATTTTTGTTAAATAATAAACATATTTGTTATTATATCATATATTATTCATGTACTGTAAATATGATACCATACAATATTATTGTTTAATTAATTAGATAATTCTAACATAAATAACATAATATTTAAATCAATTTTTCCAAATATTGGAAGGTAAACGAAAACTCTAGGCCTTTTGGGAGGGCAATCTCCCCCCCTGGTTCCACCAATGGTTCATAGTAACGTGCGCTATTAATGAAGGACTCCGGTCGTAGTTGTAGCGTCACAATAGTCAGCAATGATAAGGTCAGACATGGCTCAGCTGACCTCCAGTTTACTCTTCTTCAGATATTAATTTATTTCTGAACAACTTTTTTAATTTTGTTTAGTGCATCCAGAACTTCAACTGATATATTTAGAAACTGTCTGCAGTACTATAATAACAGCTCCAGTACTATACTAGCTATCGTCGGATAGGATCTGCGAAGCAGGTCTGCATACTTCGACCTCTTAAGGCTTTCTGATTATTTATTTTATATTCACAACACCTTCTCCCGTTGCCAGGCAGAAACAAACTACTACGTTACATGGTGTAGGCTATCCCGAAGGGCGTGGCGCCGAGACTCGCGAGCGGCTGAGTCCGCTTGAGGAGAAGAAGAAAAAGAAGAAGGAGAAGAAGGAGAAGGAGGAGAAGGAGGAGGAGGAGAAGGGGGAGGAGAA